CGATGGGGAAGTAGAGGGTTCAATATGTCCCGCAGTTAGTTGTTCCTGCACTAACTCTAAAACTGCAGATAGTTTTTGGGAGGTAAGGGGACATTGGTCGATCCAGACAGGGCTAGCACTTTTCCAGGTGATTTTATCAGCCTGGAGTACAGGTGGAGCAATGGCCCTCAGGAAAAATTTTGAAATCCGATTCCATGACAATCGTTTTTTTATGTAAAGCGAGGGGGGTAGTTATACACTGACCATGTTTACCAAGGCCTTGACCCAGTAGGAAACCCTGAGAGAGCATTTGTTGGGTAATTATTTCATTGGGGCTGTACATAACAACCTGCATCTGGGAGAGGATATCCCTTCCCCAAAGGTTAACTGGCAGGTTGGGGACAATGAAAGGTTGAACCGTACCTGAATTGCCTTCAGGGTCTCGCCACGTTAGAAGTTTAGAGCTCTGAAGGGAGTTGTTTGATTGTCCTATACCCTGTAAATGTGTTACGGAGGGCTGAGTAGGCCATGTTGAAGGCCAGAATTTTGATGAGATGACTGTGGCGTCAGCCCCTGAATCTAAGATGCCGTGAAACCATTTATTTTCAATCTGGAGGCTAAGCATGGGACAGTCCTTGGAAATGGTCCAGACCCAATAGGTATCAGAAGAACCAGGGGAAGAAGCACCGTGCTCTTGGTTGTTAATAGAGGGTGCTCGGGTATCTAAGGGGAGGGGGATAGCTTGGGCGATTCTCTGTCCTGATGTTATAGAAATGGGGCCAGAACGGGAGCTGGCCAGTATTTTTATTTCTCCTGAGTAATCATTATCTATTATAGAGGGGTAGATAGTAAGGCCCTGGAGGGTAGGGGAGGCTCGGCCAAGAATGAGGAAACAAGTATCAGGGTGTGGTGGGCCAGAAATCCCTGTGGAGAGAATCTGTACACCGTCCTCCGGGTTTAATATTGAGTCGGTGGTGGCACACAGGTCCAGTCCTGCACTTCCAGGAGTGGCTCTGTAGAGCTTGGAGGTGCAGGTTGGAAGGATTGTGCCTGCAGGCTTGGCCCCGATGCTGGCAAGAAGGGGATTGCCTGTGGGGCCCGGGACTGGCCCCTCAAGCCGTTTCCCTGAGGAGGAGGCAGGGGATTCCCTCGTACATCAGTTTTGGATCTACAGTCCCTGAGCCAATGTTTACCTTTTTGCATCTGGGACAGACAGTTTTTGGCAGGGGCGAAGGGGCAGGGGTCGAGATGCCATCTTGTGCTCAAGGTGTCAAGAAGCCCTCTGAAGGTCGGGGTGTCATTTTTTGGGAACATTGTTTAGCAAAATGTCCGGTTTGGTGGCATTTAAAGCAAGCTCTGCTGTTACCTATTGTTTGTAGAGCTGCGCCAATAGCCATAGTGACCCCTTGGGAAATGCTATTTGAGAGTTTATGAGAAAAGGGGTCAACATCATTGCATGCCCAAATGTTTGGGAACATTGTTTAGCAAAATGTCCAGTTTGGTGGCATTTAAAGCAACCTCTGTTGCTACCTGTAGTTTGAAGAGCTGCGCCAATAGCCATACATAGTGACCCCCTGGGAAATGCTATGTGAGAGTTTATGAGAAAAGGGGTCAACATCATTGCATGCCCGAATCATTTCCTCAAGGGACTTGTTTTTAAAGGTGCCTCTGAGGATATTGTGGCAGATGCTGTTAGCGTTCTCGAAAGCTAGTTGTTTAAGGAGTCTGTTGTCAGTTTCTTCTGTGCCCAAAACCCGTTCTGCGGCCTCTGTAAGCCTCCCTACAAATTCTGTATAAGGTTCATTAGCTCCCTGAATGATCTTGGTGAGGGGTGTAAACATGGCCCCTCTGCCTGGGAGAGCCCGCCAAGCACCAGGCCCTCTGCTTGGGAGAGCCCGCCAAGCACTAGTAGCAGCCTGAGAGATTTGTCCTAAGAGACCTATGGGAAGTTTAATCTGGAGATTTTCAGAGAAAAATTTTCCTTGGCCAGTGAGTTTATCAAGGGTCCATTTTTGGGTGGAGGGCCTTTGTTGGTTTTTGGTAGCTAGGTCTCAGCAACAGTCATAAAATTCAGATTTCCAAGAAAAGTATTGCCCGAGGCTAAGGACTGCCTGTGCAACACGGTGCCATTCTGCCATTCAGCTAGGGTGAGGTATCCCTCTCCTGAGAGGGCCTCTAGCAAGGCAAGGGTGAAGGATGCAGTGGGACCGTAATTTTTGACCGCTGAATTAAGTTCCTTAAGGGCTTTAAATTTTAATTTTTTAAAGGTTTTTTTGGTTATTTCTGTTTGTTTACCTTGGTCCTCATTATCTGACTCAGAGTCAATCCTATCCCTCTCATAAATTTTATCCTCTGAGTTTTCCACCTCGTCCTCCTCTCTAGTTGTATGAATAGAGGAGGGGTCTTGGTCAGAGGAGGATAGTGCGTATCTGGGGCCCTGGCGAGTTAGGACAGGAAAGGCCAGCTTAGTGGATTTGGAGATTTTTGGCCTGGAGCTTGGTGGAAGGGAGGTTTTAGGGGCTGTAATGGGCTGAGTGGGGAATCCGAAGATTGATCGGCCAACTGTGGTCTGGAGGGATGTGATGTCTAGGGAGAGTTGTGACAAATCCTGCTGTAATTGTAAGTTCTGATATCTGTTGGGTGAGATGTTTTTTTGCTTGAATTAAGGCCTCTGTGGAAGATGGGAGAAGGGGAGCCAAGGCATAGGGTGGAGGTCCTGTAGGGGCAGTAAAGCCCGCGAAGGGAGGCCAGTTGGGTTTGTAATAATCAGCTGTCCCTTCTTTTAGATCCTCCTCGTCTGAGTGACTTAGGTGGTCAGTTTCTGGTTTGGGTTTGAACTAAAAGTAGGGTAATTTTTAAGATTTTTAGGGGAATGAGGCTCGAGGCCCTGTAAAGAGGGATAAAGATTATGGGAGGGTTTTAACGGAGGTTTGTCTGAAAGATGTGACAGGGGGTTTTGGGTCTCTTCATGGGGCATAGGGATGGAAATCGGAGGACAGGGAGAAGATGGAGTTTTGTCTATGGGGCAGTAGGAAACAGGAGAATGAGCGAGAGAGAGGGGCTTGAGAAAGTTTTTAATTGCAGAAGTAAGGTGAGCAGAGCCAGGGGAGTTAGTAAAGATATCATTGATAAGATTCCAATAACTAAAAATCTGTGACGGAATTGCCTCAGGTCCCTTTTTTTGAGTAATCTATTAAGATCCAGTCTGATTTTTTTCCCAAGTTAGGGGATGAATAACTGGGCTTTCTACAATGACCCATGGACATGTTTTTGACAAGAAGGCAAAAAACTGAATCAAGTCCTTACATTTTACTCAAACTCCTCTTTCCCGAAAAGAAGTCTTAAAATCCCTAATGAATTTGACTTCCTTAGACAATTTTTGGCCCATATTATCAACGGAATAAAGGGGGAACTTACCAGGGAATCAGTCACTCATGAGCGGTGAGAACTTTTCCCAGACCAGCGTCCGTCGCAATTGGGCTAGCAGAATTCCTTGTTGGTGTGCACTACCCAGGTTTCCTTGCGGGGGGGGGGGGGTCTCCATTCGACAAAGAATCCATACCTTGAGCCGAACGTTTGGTGCCACCTGCCCCCATCCAAGGGGCTCCGGTAATTTGTGAGTCCAAGGTGGATCAGCCTGAAAATAATGGGCAGGAAACAAAGAATGGGACCAAGCAGGTTTTCTTGTCAAGGCCCATTTATTGATTATTCCAAGGAGTTGTTATAGAGAAAGGAAGGCGGGAAAGAAGAGCCAGACCAAGCAGGATCATTGTCAAGGTCTAACTTTATTGAAACCAAGGGGCTTTTTAAAGAGAAAGGAGGAAGCAGAGAAAAAGGAGGTGGGGGGAGGAATGAGTGTTAATTGCTCTCAGGCAGGTATCCGGAATCTCCTGTGTGGAGGAAGGAATAGGTCTTAGTTGCTTCTCAGGCCAGGTCCTGGAACCTGAGGGGTGGGATGCTAGACTAGCTGGCAGCTAGCTAGGCATGGGGAGTTGCCAAGGCTGGCTTCTGACAGAGGAATAGTAGTGAGGCCGAGTCTGAAGTCAGGCAAATGTGGGTTGCAAAAGAAATAGAAGCTCCTACCTTAGCTAAAAGATCCCTCCCTAGTAAAGGCACCGGACAAGTTGGTATAACCAAAATGAATGAGTGAAGGGAATCCCCCTAAAAATACAGCTCAGTGGTGGAGTCTGCTGAGGTAAGAGGTGGGTCCCCAAAACTCCTTTAGCACTGAGTATGTGGCGCTGGTCTCCAAAAGGAAGGACATGGACCACCCTGATACTTTAATGTCTACCCGGGGCTCCCTTTCAGAGACAACGGTATTTGGGTTAGGAGAGTCAGGGCCCTATCATTCATCATCCTCGTCCATAGCCAGGGCTAGGAAGTCAGCTGGAGGGCAGTCTGTGTTTGATGTCCTCTTGTCATGTGGAACATGGGGACAATCCACTGACCAATGACCCTGGCATCTTGGAAATGGCTTGCATGGCACATAGGGATTTGGACAACCCCAGGCCCAGTGCCCGGTTGTTGCCCCTAGAGATAACGGAGCTGTCAGTCTGGTGTGACCGACAGTGAATAATTCCTATAGCTTTGGGGAGGTGAGAGGCCTTCCACATGGCCATAATATAACCTGAGTTAGTTATGGATCCTCCTCTTGTAGTAAGTAGCCCACGTTCCTTCCAAATAGCTGCGTGGGACAGGAGGATATGAAAAGCTTAGAGTCTGTCAACATTTAGAAAATGTCCCTGTGCCAATTGGAAGGCACAAGTGAGGGCTATTAATTCAGCCTGTTGGTTAGTAGTGTGGGCAGGAAGTGCCCGTGCTTCCACCACCCTGATGTCTGACACTATGCCATAGCCTGCTTTACCGGTCCCCTCATGTAAAAAAGAGCTGCCATCTGTGTACCAGGTATAGGTGGCCTGAGGTAGTGTGCCCTCCTGTATGTGTGAAGGATGTAGCAATAGTTCCTCCAAGGTTTCAATGCAGGAATGAGCTGGAGAATATTAAGCATTAGGTTGGGGTAGAAGATTTGAGATTTTAAGGGGTGGGCAAGATTGGAAAGTAAGCATGGCATCTTCTACTAATGCCACCTGGAGGGAAAGAACTTGGGAAGGAGGTAGAGTTTGTAAGCCTCTATATGTTAGGAGATGGGGCAGGTTGTGATGAGAGAAGACAGTGATGGGTGTCCCAAAGGTTAGTTTCTTTGACTCACGGATAAGAAGCTCAGCAGCTGCTAAAGCATGTATGCAGGATGCCCATCCTTGAGTAGTCAGGTCTAGCTTCTTCGACAGATGCTACAGGTGCTTCTTCGATAGATATGCTACAGGTGCAAAGGAAGATCCTAGCTGGTGACCTAGAACTCCAAGGGCAAATCCTTCTTTTTCTGTTACATAGAGGGAGAAAGGATGAGTTAAGTCTGGTAGATAAAGAGCAGGAGCTTTTAGGAGAGCCTGTTTAAGTCTCTGAAAGGGCTTAGTAACAGGGTTAAGGAGGGGTTCATGTGGAGGTCCGAGAGCCGCCTCATACAGGGGGCGGGCAAGGAGGGAATAAGAGGGGATCCATGTACGTAAGAAGCCAGCATTTCCAAAAAAGATAAAATCTCCTCTTTAGTAGAAGGAACTGCAAGAGACCCGATTAAGATTTTCCTGTCTACAGTAATAGCTTTGTGGGTTGGGGTAATGGTTAGTCCCAAATAGGTGACCTGAGGAGTAGACAATTGAACCTTAGAAGGTGAGACTCTGTAACCCCTGCTAGACAGGAAATTTAGGAGGGTGGAAGTGTCAGTCCGGCTAACTTCCAAGGAGGGGCTACAAAGTAAAATATCATCTACATACTGTATGA